GCCAGCCAAAGTCCCCAACCCGGGGACGTTACGGTCCCAGGTGCAAGTGCGGCGGGGGGCGGGAGTCCACCTTGCACCTCCCTCTTCCACAGAATTCCCGCCTACGTTCGAACAGCTCGGGCGGCCCCCAGGCTCCATTTTCTCGCGGTGGCGGCTACACCTGGCGCCGCGCCTCTGAGCAGAGCTTAGCAGCTACCGTGGGGGAAGGCGGGCCCTGGGGCAGGAAGGGCGGAGTAGGCAGCCAGCCTCGGGGCTTGGGCGCCGGGAGCAGCCGAGTGCGTGCTCACGAGAACGCGGGGCAGCGGGCTACGCGTGTTTGGGCAAAGCGCCCGAGGCGAGGGCGCGGCGGAGGCGAGAGGGCGATGGCGCGCAGCCCTGGGGGCTCCCGGCGCCCGTGCCTGCTGCTGCTTCTGGTAAGTACTGGGAGCGTAGACTGGGCCTCGCGGCAGGGCAGGGCAGTGGTGGTGCCAAGCTCGCGCCCCGACCTGCCCGCTCCTGCCGTACTAATTACCCGCCACCTGGCGCTCCCTCTTTGTGCCCCGATGTGGGAAAGGACAGACAAGCCGTGGCGAGATCCGACCCTGGGATTTCGGAAAAACTGCTCTGCCAGGGCCGAGAAGGGTGGGTTGGAACTTGCATGAAGTTCCCTTGTTATTTCCGCCACACCCAGGCCCCAGCGCCTTTTTCTAACTCAGATCTGTGAGCGAAATGAGCCCTGGAGCAGGGAACACCTTTACTGGCGATCAGGGACTTTGTTTAGACTCTCCAACGAGAAACAAGGAGCCATGGAGACAGTTGGGAGGAACATCTTAAAATTTCTCCCAAGCTCTTTAAGAGATATTGTCTTCGATCCCCCAGGTTCTCTAATCACCAATGTATGTCAGTGAACTGGGGAAACAACTAAAGTACTTGTATTCTTAGACTGCTAAAAAGAAAAAAAGGGAGGGGGGCTAAAAATAGTTTTTTAAAATTGTATTTTGCAAAGCTGAATTTTTTTAGAGGTGTGTTGTTTAAACACCCATATAAAGATAGCTTTAACAAAATAAAGTTCACAAAGTTAGTTTTCTAAAACAATTTTCTAGTACTAAATATAATGAATATAAGTGATAGTTTTAGAGTTTTTCATTTAAAAGGTTACAGAATATTGAGGTGTAGAGCCACAGTCGAAGGGATGTTAAGAGGTTACTCTTCGACACTAAGGCTTCAACCACGGGAAAGCAATGTTTAGTGTCTAGATCTAGATTTCTTGGCCTTGGTTTCTATTCTCGAATTGGATTTTAAACTTTATTTGCTTTTCTGTTTGTTAAAGGGTTTACACATAATTAAGTGTATCTGGTTTGTTAAATGGGTTTTGATAAAACTGGCAGTTATCCAGCTAATATAGGCGTGGGTTCACCTAAAGATTTCACAAGTGTATGTTCAGAGAGTTTAGATCCAAAATCATACCCACTTTTCAAAATTACCAATTAAAATTTAGTTTACTCTATTAAACATTCTTATCTCTTTATCCCTGAGTTGTAGGGGGCTGGAGGAGGTAGAAAAACATATATGCCATAGGTAGCACAAATGGTTAGGACTCGGCTACTAACTGAAAGGTTGGCTTGCAGTTCGAAGCCACCCAGAGACACCTTGGAAGAAAGGCCTGGTGATCTACTTTCAAAAGATCATAGCCATTAAAAACTTTATCAAGCATATTCTACTGTGAAACA